TTTTCATAAAATCAGCAGGTTTTTTGTAATTAAAGATATAAAGTTTAAAATTCCCGTATTTTGAAACAGAAACATATTTTCAATGATTATTTTTTCTTAAATACATTATAACGTATTAAAACTGTATACCAAGTTTCATAAACATATCTTAAATATCTTCAAGAATAACTGGTAATCTATAATATTAAAACGAAACTGTGTTTTTTTATTTCACGATTCTGAATAAACCACTCGACGGATTTTCATGATTTTTGTGTTGAAAGAAAGATAATTTTGAGAACTAGGGAATGTCGAAGCCATAATTTTAGTTTAGGGTCCCAGTTTTTTAGAAATTGAGTTTTAATTTTTAAAAAGTCTAGCAGCCGACGCTAGGATTTTAAACTAGCTTTTGTCATAAAATAATTTGTTTAACATAACAGCTGTAAACATTCAGCTTTTGTGTCACAAATTCAGCATTTGGATAAAAATGTAAAGACATACTTAGGGTTGACTTATTTATACTATGTGTAATGCTAATTATTGATACGTTCAATTCTTCTGTAAGAGGATGACGGATTAATTAAATATACATAGTAAAATCATAGATAAAACATACTCCCTTAGTAGATTTCCCATCCTTATGGAACAGCTGAAGCCAATTTTATTGTTAGTTCTGTACGGTTTTCTGTAGAGGTCGTGTTTTGTTTACAATTTGTTTCCCGTTATTACAGCCATTTAAAACCTCGTTTAACCAAATAATACGGTATAATCATAAACAATAACTTGTCCCTTAGTTATATAACCAAACAGTAAAGCACAAATCAAGAAACTAACCCTAAAATAATAGAAACAAAGTTTCGTCGACACTAGCGCCTTTGTGTCACGTACATGAACTAGACACGAAAAACGTGCTTCAAAATTTACAATGGGATGAGAAGTCTACTTGTGTTGGTTAGTCTATGGTAAAATACTAGGATGTTCAAATTATTTTTTAAAGCAATCTTTGTAATCTTCGATTTGTTTTAGAGCAATATAATTTGTTTTAACTAACAGCTGGTTAAAATAAACTATGGAACTATGAGGTTATTTTATTTACTCTTATGTACATCCACCACTGTCATCATTATAGGACAGTTATTCTGTTGTCATTGATTATAGGAAGTAAGTAAGATTAGTAGAGATAATTAGACCACAGTTTAAAATGGATTAGACCAAAATTAATTAAACCACAGTACAAATCGAGGCTTACACGAGTCTTAAAAAAAAGGATAAATGCAAATTATTTTACTGTTCCACTTTTCAAGGAAAGATTAGAAAAGTAACAATGTTTACATGTTTTAATTCTTCATGGTAGCTTTTTGTTTACAATTATGTTTGTCTGCTTTAACTTTGTTTGGATTAGGCCCGGAAATATTGATGTCACAAAAAGAAGATCAAGAGTAATCAGGAATCATGATTTTAAATTACCACCACAACCTCAGCCGGGTTTTATACAAAGATAAACAGGTGGATGACATAGATTGAACACAACGTCAACATTGACCTAGGATACTGCAATTAGACAAACCATCCTTTTATGAAATCGTGTTCAGTTGTGGTAACGTTTGGGGATGCCTATATCAGCGCCTCCAAACGTGAAAATATCACTTTTATTTTAACTATGAATATATTGTAGTTTAAATGAACTAATATGGGAAATTACGATGAACATTTATTCAATGAGGGTGGGTAATTATCAAGGATAGAACTGATAACGGTATGTATAATAAACATTGACAATTACGTCATTAGCTAGCGTGTTTACTTTTTATATTCCTGCTACATGTGACCAGTTCTTTTTTTCAAATGAATGTTATTTGAACCAAACAGCTGTTTCAAAACAAACTGTTATTATTTTTACTTTTCTTTGTTTACACTTATTTATTTAGCAATTAATGCAATGAAAAAAAGGATAGGTGTGACGATTAGTTTTGATGTTAGGACACCAAAGTTAAATTATGTGTACTATGAATTTTATTGGATATTATCATTTTATTTTAGGTCTTTCTATTCAGACCTACTGGAAATTGTGTATAGTAGTTGTATTGTGGTGATAATAATTATGGAAGAGGCAGGTATGTGATCGAAGGTGGTCGTTGACTAGGTCTATACACTTCTCAATTGACCATTACTCTACTGTAGGCTACTTATAATCAGTGTGCGTCTGTGCGAATCGGCTGCAAATCTCACCTCAACGCTTTTCACACCGTAAAAACACAGCAGAATTGCTGTTTTTATCGGATTTAAAATGCATATCGTATAGGATGGAATAAAAACATATTTGGTCACACAACATTTGTTTACAAGATGATTTTTCACATTAAAACTGCGAGAAACTTTGTCTTTATATGTGTAAACTAGCTGATCTGAATTGTTCATGGTTTTAACCAACGATCAAATAAGACCACATTGGTCTTATGTGATCGTTGGTTTTAACTGACTACTGAATTCCCGTACGTAGGACGGGCTAACACCTCGTATTGGAATTAATATAAATTTGAAATAAAAACTTCACCAATAAATTCAGAAATATTGGTGAAGTTTTTATTTCAAATTTATACCTTAAATAGTTTTCGATCCCCCACCCCTACCCTGTTAAAGGGGTTAAAAATATTGTTGATGTAAAAAAAATTGTGGAACCTATGTTAACAATTAAATCGACAAACAGAATATTTCTATCATTTCGGTTTTACAAATACAGGTTTGTTTTTATATTTTTGAAATTGGTGCTTTTTCACATACATTAAATCGCATTTTGAAATACCTGTCATTTTGGCTAGGGGTCAGATATCCACCAAGGGTTTGCGTCATTATGTTTCTTTCGATAAATCCTTCAAAATGAGGAGTCACTCAATAGGGGTTGCTATTTGAAAACAATAAGTCACCGTCACCCCCGCCTACCATGTTAGGGGGGTTAACAATATTTTTGATGTAAAAAAACGGAACCTTTGTTAACATTCAATGCCACAACTATAATATCTATCTCGGTTTAAAAAATACAGATCTATTTCAAGACTTTATTTACACACTTTATATGAATTTGAACGGTTGGTGATTTTTGACTCAAGGGACCTCAAAACGAAAAATAAATCGGTCCCAGGTCCAGGTCTTACGATAAGTACTACGGTAATAGCTTATTCTATGTATGGGAAATTCGCTAAAACACAGCAATTTTGAAACAGGATCATATTTTTTAATGATTATTTTTCCTTAAATACATTATGACGTATTAAAACTGTATACCAAGTTTCATAAAGATATCTTAAATAGGTTTCGAGAAATATCTCATTAAAAGCGCGTTCATTCAAATTCAAATAGAATCCCACGGCGCCACTCGAGGAGGAAACGCTTCGCGTCTTCCGCTACAGTGGCGCGGCAATACAGCCGCATCATGAAACAGCGCCTAGCGCAGATCCAGCTGACCGTCTGCATTAAAGTATTATATTGTCCACTGAGCTATAATAATAACTGGAGTAACCACTCTGTGTTTTGAAAACGTACCACTGTTTTTGCTGGTTTTGTTTTAGAGTTTCGTTTTGTTATGTTGGCCGGGTGATCGGGTTGGTGGGACTTGTCAAATTAGAGGCAAAATCAAGATGGCGTCATCCTGGTTTGAGTAAACAAAAATCTCTGCCAACTCAACATTATGATTGCAATATAAGTTTATTTATTTATTTTACGAACAAGAGCAACCCATTTTAACAAGATCATAAACCGATGGTCGTTATTTAATCAAATGCCATAGGGCTATTGGCCTAAACCAATATCTCCAAACCAGGAAACTTGACTAGCCTATTTTTACCACATAGTTTGAAAAGAGGTAAATAAAGTTAGTATTTATTTACTATCAAACAAAAACAATTTATAATATAACTTTAAATACAGAGGTTTTAACGTGCAATAACTTAAATAAGTTTTTGATACAAGTCCTTGAAGTAACGGATAACATAACCCCAAATGAATCGTATGGTTAGGTTAGAATGAATTGGAATTATTTGACAGCATCCCACCAACCGATCACACGGCCAACATAACAACACGAAACACCAAAAAACAAACCAGCCAAAACAGTGGTACGTTTTTCTCTAACGTTTAACCAGAGAGTAGTGACTCCAGTTATAATCTATATCTCAATGATATTGTCTGTGTTTTGGGCTCTTTTCATGCGCTCCGGTCCTGCACTATGGGATCTCCTACCTTGGATTGTATAATTTACACTCGCCTTTGGCCCCCTAGCTGTTAGTCGTCATTAGTAGATTAGAGTTAAGTTGTAACAAAGCAAGAAGTGAAACCGTCAATATTAAGTTATATAAGTTAACTTCGAGCTTAAGGAACACCTTATAAAAAGATAATTTTTTAAGTTGCGGTAAGAGAGTGTGTTAGTTAAGTATTTTTACAACTGAGTTGTTGGTCAGTATTATATGATGTAAATAGATTATAGTAGATATTCATGACGTATATATTTATGAAAATAGATTAAGTAATGTTTGTTTCCCTGTCAGTTAGCCACAAACTGTATGGCATATCCAGTTCCGCCACGAGGAGGCCAGGAAACGTTGGAACCATATTTACAATTACTTACAAATGTACAAATTAGTAAACTTTTGTATAAGATGAGTAGATTGATTAGTATGTCGATTGATAAGTGAATAAGTTGATAATAGTAAAGTATCATATGAATTAAATAGATTATAGTAGATATTCATGTATATATTTATGAAAATAGATCAAGTAATGTTTGTTTCCCTGTCGGTTAGCCATACAATTTATGGCATTTCCAGTTCCGCCACGAGGAGGCCAGGAAACGTCGGAACCATATTTACAATTATTTACAAATGTACAAGTTAGTAAACTTTACTAACTACTTTATACAACAACGGGGACTTTTGATAAGGCCCTATCGTACTGCCGATGTTGTCAAGTCACAACGGGGAGTTTTGATTAAGCAGATCCCCTAGCCTACTGCTAATGTCAAATCAGGTTTAGAGAAGGAGATCGCCATACACGATGTTCTTTGCGTATGCGATTTCATCTCGGACACGTTCGGGGTGTACGAGAACAACAATATGGTCTGGATGTCTGACCCTACTGAGCAAGACGTAAAGTTGCCCGTGCGTGAAGCAATCGGTCCGTAAATCAACACCGACTGAATCTATTGTCTGACCTTGGCTCTTGTGTCCGGTCATGCAATAGGCCAACATCAGTGGGAACTGACGTCGACGAACACGTAACGGCGAACCCTCAACAAACGCAAAAGTAAAGGTAATCCGGGGAATTCCGATAGGTTGCGTCTGTCCGGGAAGTCTCACTGTAATCAGGCGGTTGGTGATGCCGATTACGATGACTTTAGTGCCGTTGACGAGTCCTTCAGCGATGTTGAGGTTCCTCATAATGAGGCAAACAGAGCCGATCTTCAGCCGCAGAACATGGTCTGGTACGCCCTTGCCAGTAGCCGTGTTCAGGAGTTGAACGTCGACATCCAGGCCATCGTCGTTCTCTCTGTCCACTGTGTCGGCGCTCCTCAGCTCGTACAGATGACCGTCAAGGGAGTTCAAGATGTGGTCGTTGATCTCCTTGACGTTCACTATCAGAGTCGAGAGGATTGCGCGTCGCGAACACATATCAGAGTCGAGTAGGACGTTTGCGGGAAAGACGGAATCGACCAAATCAGTCAAAGACGTCACTTGTCTAATCCCGTGCAGCGGAATTAGACTTTGTTCGTTCCGTCCCTCCAAGAAAGTTGTCGAACTGACAGTCCCGTTGCCTACCTCAAGAAGGAATTCGGAATAGGCTGTGGAACCACTAGTCCGATGAGCTGTCGTCAGGGCAAAAATTTTGAAATGCTGCCACAGATGGGAAGCCCGAAGAGAAACACAAACTATGTCAGATGGCGTTCGAGCGTTCACAACGACGGGTGCGATCTGGCGGAAGTCGCCACAGCAGAGGAAGATTTTGCCACCGAATAGCTCATTGGAACGCATGAGGTCTCGCAGGGATCTGTCGAGAACCTCGAAAACAAACCGATGTGCCATCGGGGCCTCATCGAAGACAATAAGCCTTGCAGCCCTGATGAGCTCTGCTCGCTGAAAGCCGTTGGTGATATTCCAAAAGCCGGTGCCGTCACCGAAGTCGAGTGGCAACCGGAACATGCTGTGAGCTGTAGTCCCACCAGGCATGTTACCCGCGGCGATCCCAGAGCTGGCGACTGCCAGTGCAACCTGACGACAACCTCTCACGTATGCGAGAATGACACGAATAAGAGTGGTCTTTCCGTAGCCACCCGGACCGTCAAGGAAAATGATTTTCGACGACGTTCCGCTGGCTGGGGCATTGAGAACGGAGGTAACGTACTCAAATACACGGTGTTGGTCTTCAGAGAGCTTTGGCACCCACTCCTCCACAAACGCTCTCTGTTGATTTTCGCCGTGTAAGAGCAGTTCTCTGCCCAACTCCGTCGTGTCATCGTGTACATCGGGGAGGCCGTGATCTGCGACGCAAGAGCCCTGCCGACGGAGACTACGATCAATCTCGATGAGACCTAGCTTGTAGGCCAGTTCAACATCGAGAGGATTACGTTCAATGTGGTCCTCGCAGATGGAATCACGGAATGCATCCCACAGGAGAGCTGCGGGAGCTCCCATGTTGCAGAGGATCACAAAGAAAGAACGAAGTCTCGGGCCAGTCATGAAAGTGGCGGCCTCGCGCAGCGCGTAGTGGTACTCCTGTTCATCTTGCACCAAGCCAAGATGCCGCGCGACCTCTTGAAAAGTGCGGCAGTTCGGCCCACCGCGGGACAGGAGGTCGGCATAACCACGGCAAGCAACAGTCATCAGTAGGATACGCAGGTAATACTGTTCAGTCCTGCTCGGAGAGACCCAAAACAGTCTGCACACTTTCTCGCCGCGCTGGCGGGCCGTGATAAAATGGACGCCGTCAGGGTGCTCGTATATCTCCGCAGTTTTAGGGCGCTTGACGTGGACCACAAACGTTTCATAAAAACCCTGATATGTCACGTCGTCAAACAGTGAAATACGAGGCCGGTCGAAGTAGATTGTAAGTTTGGAGCTGTTCCTAGCGGCTGCCGCTGCCAGTTGGCCTGGTCTGAACAGGACGGACTGCTTGCCCTCCAGATGGACGGGAAGACATTCAACAGTCGGTTCAGATTCTGAGACAGGAAAGTTTAACAAACGCCAGCACGCGTCACTGGCACCCACCATTCTCTTCGTCACGTAATGCTGTACCTCATCATCCTGCTTACTGAAGGGAGTTACTGTAACGTTCTGGAGAGATCCTCCCTTCATAAGATATTTGAAGAGGTACTTAATCACGCGGCGAGTAGACGCCAGCTCCAAATTGATGTGGGCCTCGTATTTCAATAAAAGTGCGGAGTTATACGGCACTACCCAACCGTCATGTACGGCAATCCCAACACAAGAGTGATCCATACAATTAAAGCGAATAACAAGTATAGATCACAAAAATCGGAATAATAATAGTCCAAATAGGATTAGAAGTGATCGTGAAACTTGAACATGTGTAGTCAAATTTGGTAGCAGAAATAAGAGCGAGAACCAACTCATTATACTGCATTAGTGACTTGTGTGTACTGCTTTACCAAAAATCCGCCATTTTTAATCTTTTTAAAGGTTGAAAGTTTTTTAATGTGTATTAGAGTTTTTTTTCATCATAAAAAAATTAGGAGCATAAAAATAAAACTTTATGTCCGAAAATTTAAAAAAAAAACACGTAAAAAATCGAGAACTTGTTTAACATTTTTGGAAGTAGGGCGTTTTTTTTTTAAGGGAAATGAGTGCGATTTTCGGAAAACGCCGAAGAGTCTATTATAGAGAATTTAATTCCTGACCATGAAAATGATTTAAAATCTTTTCTATCTCTTACCGTGCTCGAGCTATAGCTGTTTGAAAAAAACGTGTTTTGTAGTTTTTAGAGGTCCGCCATTTTGGATTTTTGGGGGGGTTAAAATTTGAAAATGGGACTTTTGAAAATTTCACCATTAGCTTATGATTCCTTACTACAATACTACCAAATTACAAGTCTCTAGAACGTTTATAAACGATTCATATGACCATACCAAAGTCATTAATTTTCAATCTTATTCTCCCTAAGAATAACATGGGGCTCGTAAAAGTGGCAAAAAACCTTCAAATTTTGAGATTAAAATTAAGTTTTGGGGGTCAAGGAGTAAAGTTACGAAGAAACATGTAATGAGTAAAATTTAAAGTAAAGTAAGGAAAATACAAAGCAATAATAATTTTTGAAAAGAAAAATTATTTAAGTATAAAAAAATGGCGAAAACCGCTAAAAATGTAATAAAAATTTATCAAATTTTGAAAGTAGGGCGTTTTTTGAAGCTGAAGGAGTGCGATTTTTGGAAAACGCCTAAGAGGATTTTGTAGAAAATTTAATTCCTGTTCCTGGATATACTTTCAAATCATGCTAGCTCTTACCGTTTTCGAGCTACATCCGGTTGAAAAAAAAGTGTTTTTTCGTTTTCAGAGGTCCACCATTTTGGATTTGTGGGTGGGTTAAAATTTGAAAATGGGACTTTTGCATATTCCACCGGTAATGTAAGATCTGCTACTACAATACTACGCAAATTTGAAGTCTCTAGCACGTTTCTAAGTGGTTCAGATGGGCACACGAAGTCGGCCATTTTTTATGTTATTTCCCATAAGAATAACATGGGGGGGAAGTTAAAATTTAAAAATGTCACTTTTTGGAATTTTCCCGGGGGTTTAGGCACTAGACCTACAAAACACCGAAAATTTCAAGTCTCTAGCTCATCTAGAAGTGGTCTAGAATTTGTATCCCCCAGTGAGTTACATATGCGGGATTATAGTATTTAGAATTATAGTATTTAGACTTGTACCAGCTGTTTGCCATAGCTTATTTTGTCCTAGTCATTAGCTATGGGACGCGGGATCTATTACGCTGAGCCACCTGTTGAGTAGTCCAAAATCAAGAAACCACGGTAATTGGTATACATACAAACGGTATTTAGCACGTTTCGGAAACCAATACGTTTGGAAAAGGAATGTGTTGCTCTTATTTGTTTTAGAACTGATTTTAATGGTAACAAATATTGTTGAACTTAAGTAATTAAAACTATACAAACAGGATTTTGGCGTGCGAAATTTCTGCAAAACTGACAAATTTTACTGTTGGATCGTATTGGTTTAAATACTCATTATAATAGATGTCGGTTTACATCTGTTGTGATAAAAAAAAAGAATATTTATGAGATTTTCACTACTATGGAAGACATTTTTAGGGTTCTACAATGGTACAACGGTAACTGCTACGTCCCTGCTGGAAAATTCTCATTAACTAAAATTAGTATAGGCCTACATCATGCCCTGATCCATATAGCTTGAGGAATTGCAATATGGATTATTTCATTTGAGATTTGTTTAAACATACTGCGAATAAATTATTCTTGGGTGAAACATGTTTTACGTTAAGTTATGGACAGTAAAAAAATATCGCATTAGATAAATCAACCATATATATTTCATGTTTAATTACATACTCACATGTTTGATATCATAATAAAACCCAATCCACTTGCAAACGTTTACCAAACCAAAACATTTCGTAAAGATCAATTTGACGAATCCTCATAGACGTACCGATTAACTCAAAGAATTTTTAACCTCATTTTATAGACCGTATATATTTATACAGTATGAACTAATACCTCCACCGCAGCAAACCTGCAGACCAATCGAATTTCAATTTGTCTAATTTACTAAAATATTTCTAAAATTTGTACTAAAATATTTCTATAAATAATACTAATCGTTCCCCATTTAAATACCGTTAGATTTAACCAGTACTTATAGGTTTTCTGTTACGTGGAAGGTAGACAATATTGTTCACCAAAGGTTAATGGTATATATCAAACGATATAGATATACAGGGTATCCCGTAATTCTCTGGACAGATGTGTATAGCGTTATTGCTCAGGTCAAGACACATTTCACCATATAGTACAGGTAAAATAGGGTTTTATAAACAACAAAATTTGTACATTCATGAAATTTCCCCTGTGAGTTACTAATAATATGAGAAATGAAGATCCGATGAGTCCCCAAAATTTTGGGCGTGCTAAGGCCCTTTTTGGGGCCCTTTTTGTTCCGAAGGGCCCTTAATCCTAAATAATTTTGTTTTTACGTTTAAGGTCGTGTGAGGTGTGGTTTTCGATGGTTTTAGTTATTTTAAATCGATTGGGACTAGTTTTATGTGTATTAAACCACTCCGTACAGGGTGTTTAGAAATATTATTACTTTTTACAATATTTAAACATTTATTCATAAAGTGATAAAATTAGTTACTTCCATGCATGCTCTATATAAAAAGGGATTATTGAAAATAACTGTAATTCTTTACTATATAAGAGAGAAGGATCTCAAGGAGTAAGAGAAAATATTAAATACCCCGTCACAGCAAACCTGCAGACTAAGCTAATTTTAATTTGTCCGATTTTTAATTAAATCTAATAGTTTAATGAAAAAAGGGTCTAATAGTTTAATGAAAAAAGGGTCTAATAGTTTAATGAATACTTAGGTTTGCTGCTACAAGGAGGCTAATAAAGTGTGTTTATAGTAAAATCTTAACAGCCTAGTATAAAACAAATACCACTCCATACAGGGTGTTTCGAAATATTATTACTTTTTACGATATTTAAACATTTATTCATAAAGTGAAAAAAATTAGTTACCTCCATGCTCTATATAAAAGGGGATTATTGAAAATAACTGCAATTCTTTACTATATAAGAGGGAAGGATCACAAGGAGTAAGAGAAAATATTAAATACCCCCGTCACAGCAAACCTGCACACCTAGCGAATTTCCGTTTTACTTACTTGATTGTCAATTAAATCTAAAATAGCGTTGCGTTTAATGATAACCTAGGTTTGCTGCTACAAGGCGGCTAATAAAGTGTGTTTATAGTAAAATATTAAAAGCCTAGTATAAAACAAATAAATTTAATAAGTTTGATCAAAATATATCTATTAACAATAAAAAAAAATCATTTTACACTATTCTACATAAGAATAACATGGGAATTTTAAATTTATAATTTTAGTATTTTTATCCGTAACTAGTATCATACAAAAACACGTTAATATACTAAATTATTTTTTTAAGCTATTTAAAATGTTCTAGAGAAAAATTGGGAAACTTTGTGTTTTGAGGGTAAAGTAAATAAGAAAACCCAATTTTTACCCCATAAACCTCGTTCCCATTGTTCAGGACAAAAATGCTTGTGCCGACAATGCTGCTCTGATGTCTTAGTGCTGTCCTGGTCGTCATAACCACGAAAGATAACTGTACTTGGATTGATTGAAAATAAGTTTGAGGAACTTAAGATACAAGTTGCAAACGTCAGTATGTATGAAAGGTGTTTTTGCACCACATTGTTCGTGCTTTAAGATTGGTGTTGCCTGTTCTGCAATATGCAAGGTTTTAGGTTTGTAAAGGGGAATCCTGCTTGAACACCAACTTGGACAAAATCAGTAAAGATGGACAAGTTGCTAAGAATAATAAAATTTTTAATGAGTCGTCTGAGAATAATTATTGTGATAATGAAATTGTAAAGAGAGATACTACATAAATTGTAGAAAAATAGCTTTAGTTTAAGTACTTCATTTTAATATGTAATGTAAGGTTATATACAAATGCAATTGTTTTAATTTTTAATAAATGTAAAAAAATAACTTAAATACTACCTTAGAAAAATACATATCAATTTGAAATTGGTCTTAATAGATTTGCATAATAAACACGTTGAAAGATTATTCACACCACCTTAAAAGTTGAAATTTTTGCTTAGTAACCTATTTTATCATGTTATAGTGTGAAACTTCATCCATCCCCTTCATCCCCTTTTAGCGAACATCCCATTTAGGAGATAAGCTATTACCGAAGGTCTCATGGTAAAACATAGACCCAAAACCGATTTACGTTTTCATTTCGATGGCCCCAGAAGCCTAAAGCACCATCTACTCAAAATAGTATATATGTGTTTATATCCATATATAATATAATATATCCATGTTATATACGTGTCCATAAACATGATAACTCGAGTAATTTACGTTCAATTTTAACGAAACCGGCATAATCGGTCCATGGAACAGGGTTTTATGTGGTAAAAATATGTAATCTTTGACCCTCAAAAGACAAAGTTTCCCAATTTTTCTCTACAGCATTTTAAAGAGCTCAAAGAAAACAAATAATTTAGTATATTAACGTGTTTTGTAAGTGTGTTAGTTACGAATAAAATTCAAAATAGTAAATTTAAAATTCCATGTTATTCTTAAGGAGAATAGTGTAAAATGATTTTGTTTGTTTGTTTATAGATATGTCTTAGTAAAACTTGTCAAATTTATTTGTTTTATACTAGGCTATTAAGATGTT